GTCACCCAGGCTGGAGTGGAGTGGTGCAATCTTGGCTCACTGCAACATCTGCCTCCCCGGCTCAAGCGATCCTCCCACCTCAGCCTCCTGAGTGGCTGGGACCACATATGTGCACAACTGCACCCAGCTAATTTTCATATGTTTTTGTAGAGACGAGATTTTGCCATGTTACCCAGGCTGGTTTCAAACTCCTGAGCTCAAGAAATCTGCCCATCTGGACATCCCAAAACGCTGGGATTACAGGTATGAGCCACTGTGCCCAGCCACCAGCCTGACCTGTCTAAAACACAAGTATGATGATATCACATATCTTCACAGAATCCTTTGATGATTCCTTATGAAGTGCATTAAAAATCTTTCATGATCCTGCCCACTCCCAAACCTGCTTATTAAAAAATTGACTTCCAATCTTTCTGTTCTATGCAGGTGTTATTTCTGCTCCCACAGAAATGCCATTGTTACCGCTTTCATGGAATGTTTGAAATCTATCATGGTTAGTTAACTTATGGCTACCTAGTTTCTATCCATAGGATATGTCTGACCACCTGTGATTTCTAAATTAATTCATTTTCTCTTTTCTCAGGCCTCTACAGGTATGGCTTTTCTGAGGTGAAAAGGATAGGTGTAGGGAATATTGATAGGTGCAGCCCATGTTAGAAGACAGTCTTTTAGGGAAATGGTAGGCAGCAGAAATGTATTTGTTGATATATCAAGGTTTTTTTTATTTGTGCTTAATCCTTCTAAACAGAAACTTTGAACTATTATGTAAGCAATTCAGTCCAATTATACTTTTTATATATTCTTTGAATGTTTACTAGGCTAGGTCCAGGCTATATAGTGATGAACAAAGGAGATCTTTTTGTGGCACTGACGGACTTACCAGCATAGTGAGAGTAATAACCAATAAACAAATAATAAAAACCCAAATTACAAATATTGATGCTACAAAGAGAAATAATAGAGAATGTGAGAGCATGTAATGCTATATAGGATTATCTAGATTGAGTTGGTAGTTAAGGTCTCTCAGGCCCAGACTGAGATTAAAAAGGAACAAGGTGTGAATTTTGTGACTTCTGCACAACTTATTTAACCTCTTTGAGCCACAATTTTCCCATCTGCAATGTGGAAATAATTATAGGATTCCTGTGAGGATGAATGAGATAATGAATAAAGTGTTCAGCCTGTAAATAAATGGCACCCTTAAATAAGTGGCAGTCATATTTAATGTTAATGTTAGAAATGGTATGGGGAATGAACTTTAGGGGAAGGACTGCAATGCAAGCAGTTCAGTAAGGGAACTGTTGCAATAGTCAATAGGGTTGATGACAGTAGCCTGGGTTAGGATGGTGACAGTAGAGGTGGAGATAGTTTAGAGAGCATTTTACATGGAAGGAAGGATCACTTGGATTTTTATTGTCCACGGGAGGAAATACAGTGGCAAGGGTCAGAATTACTCCCTAATTTTCAGCTTGAGTGTCTGGGAGAGGAGTCAGGGCACTGACTGAAAAGCGAAGCACAGACTCAGGAATGAATCACTAATCTCACATCCCTGTAAGACAGGAAACACAAATATGTCTAGATTGAAGGGGAGAGAAATTGGCAAGACAAAGGGAGCAAACTGCCCACAAATAGGCAACAATAGAGCCAGAGTCATAGAGAGACAGAGAGATGAAGAGAAAGAGGCAGGGGCAGAGAGAGAGAGAGAAAGACAGAGAGAGAGATGGAGTGGAGGAATAGAGAGAATACTCTGATTTTAGTCCTTCCATCCAGCATTTTCTTGTTGGTGGCTGCTTAGCTTCTCTTTTCTTATATTTCAGAAATGACACAATTGTCCACAGCAAGCTAAATGTTCCCTCTCTGAGAGCCTACATTTCGGCTCAACCTCTAAATAAATACTTCTGCCTCTTCTCATCATGTGGATTTTACATTTAATGGTCACTAAGAAGATTTGGCAGGGGGGACCGTCTTACCTTCTCTTCAGACTGAAGCAGAAAAGAGGTTTTTGGAAGGAAGTCATGCAAATCTCTAAGCTCACAATGAACTGTGAATTGCAGAGGCATAAGAACCCACGAGGCGGGGCGGGGGGTGGGGAACAAAGGTATGAACTTGACCACTAGCTTGCTGTTCTCGCATGATTGGGCTCCATTTTTTAACACGGAGGTATTAACAGAACATTCCCCTTTAGTAACTGAAACTTTCTACACCAGTGAAGCTAAAACAAATCGCCATTTCTTTTAAGTGCAAAAGTGGAAGTGTGACTGGACGAGGGTAGGGTTATGAACAATTCTCAGTTCTTGAAATTGTAATGCACTGATGCTCTTTCTTTGCTCTTTCACAGCCTGTGTGTGAACAATAGATGATAGTAGAAGTAATGCCAATACTGCAATCAAAGTAGGTGTTGGGGTGGGAACTGTGTTGCATAAGTAGGGACAGGTGCTTAGTTCTACTCTGACTGACTAACTAGAGGAATTCTAGTGCTATGTGATTATAAGTTCCTACTATGGGATTAGAATGGTTCTACCATAATGTGCTCTTCACATGCCACAGTGAAATTGAAATAATATTTTTTGTAGCAAGATGGATGGAGCTGGAGGCCGTTATTCTAAGTAACACAGGAGTGGAAAGCCAAAAACCAGGCGTTCTCACTTATAAGTGGGAGCTAAGCTATGAGCATGCAAAGGCATATGGAGTGATAGTTAAGACAGCCTTATTCTACTAAGTGGTTCCTCCTAGTCAGGGATAGGAAAGTGGCATAGTGGAAATACCATAGGCTTCAGAGAAAACCAGGAATGATAGTAAATCTTATCTTTACCATTTTTTGCTTTGCTATTTAAGGCAATTTACTGAATGTCTCTGAAGCTCAGTTTTTTCATATAGATCATAGGGTGATAATAGTTCCTACATCTTAGAACAGTTGTGAAAATTGAATTAAATAATATGCTTGAAAACTTCCATTACAGATTCTGGAATACATCCTTGATGGTCACAGCATGATAATTATTTCCTGTCTTTCTACCTGTGAGTGCCCCTTCCACCCTCCATTCTAAGTAACACATATATAAGCAAAATGACTGCCTATTTAAGACATATAACAAATAAGAGGGCAAATAGGGAGATGGAATAGAACAGGGGGAAAGTAAAAGTATTATTCACAGTAATAGCAGCTCATAACATCCACACTGTAAATTCATCACTTGAGGCTCTGTTTTTGTTATCACAACTCTATTTCCTGGAGCAGGACTTAACACCACCTAGGAAGCCATTCTGCTACTTATGGGGAGAATCTAAAACCAGGTTACTCCTTTGTTTTTTGTAAACTTACTTCAAACAAGCTTGAAATACAATAAATATTCCTTCAACATACACAGAAGTTATGTTTGTGAACTTTGTCTTGGGGAGAAAAACAAAGATGAGGAGAACGGTATACATGAAGGCAAGGCCCCTTGTCCTCCCATTTCAAGTCTCAGATCTTCCATTAACAGCTGTGTGGCCATTATAATCTCCTCTCTCTGGGCCTTGCTTCTCTCTCTATTATGTGGAGGCTGAATTTAATGATTTCCAAAGGTCCTTCCCAGTCTGAAATTCTACAAGATAGTTAAAGCAAAATGAGGAATCTGTTGCTCTCCTTACCATTCTTATCTGCAGGCAATCAGCATAATTCCATGCCCAGCCTCTGATAATCTCTAAAGATTATGCTACTCTCTATATACCTTAATATAACACATAATAAAAATAATACTAAATCATAAAATATGATTAAGAACGTCCAAAAAGAAGGAATCTCTTCATAATGATTAATGAATAAAGAAAGAATTACATTTTAAACTGTCTTCAAAAAGTGGTTTTAGTGATCCTGTTTTGCTGGTGCCCAAAGCAGTGTTTATTGTGATTGCTGGATAACTTGCCATGTCAGTGTTGCCATATCAGTGCAGGATTCTACTTAGAGGTCTTTTCCCCTTCAAGATTTCAAGAAGGAAAATACTCTATTTCAGCTTATAAATTCATATATTATTAAAGCTTTTTTATGTAAATTTGGATATCCAAGCCTAGGGAGGGATACAAACTGCAGAATAATTTCAGAGTCACAAGCTATTATGATAGAATAATGCGGCCACATTCTCAGGTCTTGAAAATCAGCCAGGACACTGACAATGCAGGCTTTCGGAGGTAGGACCATTTTCCAAGTGCTGGAGTTCCAAGATAAGAAGCCAGGGGCAGGGAATGGTGGCTAGTGTCTGTAATCTCAGCACTTTGGGAGGCTGAGGCGGGTGGATCATGAGGTCAGGAGATCGAGACTATCTTGCCTAACACGGTGAAACCCCATCTCTAGTAAAAACACAAAAAATTAACCAGGTTGCTTGCACACAGCTGTAGTCCCAACTATTCAGGAGGCTGAGGCAGGAGAATCACTTGAACCCCGGAGGCGGAGGTTGCAGTGAGCCGAGATGGCGCCACTGCACTCCAGCATGGGTGACAGACCAAGACTCTGTATCAAAAAAAAAAAAAAAAAAAAAAAGAAAAGAAAAGAAAAAGAAGCAGCAGCCAGGACCCAATGGGCAAAATGGCAGACAAAGGACAGGCAAGCGAACATAAAAGGTGAGCCTGAATTTCTACCATTGCAATTAGGTGTGAGTAGTATTCATTCTAACCAAAGCTTTGGACAAGATGAATTTGGAGGCAAAATAAATATACTTGAATGCTATGCTGTTTTTGCTGTGGTGAGAATAAAAGATTTAATATTTCAAGACATTTTTGCCTGAAAAATACAACTTAGAGAATCTGGGAGGGCAGTTGTGAGGCAATTTCATGGTTCCTTAACTATTACATAGGGTGACTTTGGATCAATACTGTATCTTCCTTGAGCCTCTAATTGTTTATCTGTAAACTGGTCTCTTCTAATTCTAATACTCTGTGCCTCCGTAAGTAAAAAAGAGAGATCTAGGTGTTAGCTAAAGAACTAACTAACCATTATGCTCTTTATTTTGTTTTACTTTGGACAGGAACTGTAAATCCATGACTTACTTTGATGAATATACTGAAACATTCAAGATGCTTAGCAACAGTACCAGCACTGCTGAGACTTACTGTAATGTCACTAATGTGAAATTTCAATACTCCCTCTATGCAACCACCTATATCCTCATTTTCATTCCTGGTCTTCTGGCTAACAGTGCAGCCTTGTGGGTTCTATGCCGCTTCATCAGCAACAAAAATAAAGCCATAATTTTCATGATCAACCTCTCTGTGGCTGACCTTGCTCACGTATTATCTTTACCCCTCCGGATTTACTATTACATCAACCACCACTGGCCTTTCCAGAGAGCCCTTTGCCTGCTCTGCTTCTACCTAAAGTATCTCAACATGTATGCCAGCATTTGTTTCCTGACGTGCATCAGTCTTCAGAGGTGCTTTTTTCTCCTCAAGCCCTTCAGGGCCAGAGACTGGAAGCGTAGGTACGATGTGGGAATCAGTGCTGCCATCTGGATCATTGTGGGGACTGCCTGTTTGCCATTTCCCATCCTGAGAAGCACAGACTTAGAGAAGAACAACAAGTCCTGCTTTGCTGATCTTGGATACAAGCAAATGAATGCAGTTGCATTGGTCGGGATGATTACAGTTGCTGAGCTTGCAGGATTTGTGATCCCAGTCATTATCATCGCATGGTGTACCTGGAAAACTACTATATCTTTGAGACAGCCACCAGTGGCTTTCCAAGGGATCAGCGAGAGGCAAAAAGCAGTGCGGATGGTGTTCATGTGTGCTGCAGTCTTCTTCATTTGCTTCACTCCCTATCATATTAACTTTATTTTTTACACCATGGTAAAGGAAACCATCATTAGCAATTGTCCCATTGTCCGAATCGCACTGTATTTCCACCCTTTTTGCCTGTGTCTTGCAAGTATCTGCTGCCTCTTGGATCCAATTCTTTATTACTTTATGGCCTCAGAGTTTCGTGACCAACTATCCCGCCATAGCAGTTCTGTGACCCGCTCCCGCCTCATGAGCAGAGAGAGTGGTTCTTCAATGATTGGTTAAAATTAAAATGTCTCTTTAATTATAACTTTGTTTGCCTACGTTCTTTGTCTTCTTTCAAAGGCCAGAATTGCCAACCAATTTCTTTATATGAACCTTGTAAACAGCAGAAATAAGTGTTTGTTTGTGTGATATTCATAGTCACAGTGGTGTGATGATGAAGGCAGAGTGTGAAAAATGTGAGAGAGGAAGGGAAAATAGATTTACCTGCTTCCTCTTTGAAATTCAAGATGCTTTCTTATTTAAGAAACCTAGATCAAGTTTTTACAGATATAAATAAAAGTTGAATAGTTTCCCTTAATTTTTTTCAATAAGTTATTGTTAATAATGCACAATATGTGAATTTTTCCTAGCATGTAAAAAAATAACTTTCATATAAACGCCTTTATTTCTGAGTGAAAGTAAAAATGTCTAGTCTTTCTAACAGGTAAATTTTTCTAACAGGAAAGACAGTGTGAAGAATTGAAGCAGTATGTGCATAAATTTCAGAACCACAAACCTCTTACTAAAGAAAAGGCATGGAAATACATTCATTCGTTGAAAATGTGTTGGATGCCTGTTGTGCTCTGGGTTGTCACTTTGTTAGGTACTTCTTTTTTTTGTTTGTTTGTTTTCATATGTTATTGGGGCACAGGTGGTATTTGATTTCATGAGTAAGTTATATAGTGGTGATTTGTGAGATTTTGGTGCACCCATCACCGGAGCAGTGTGCACTGCACCATATTTGTAGTCTTTAATCCCTCGCCACCCTCCCACTCTTCCACACATAACATCTCATCCGGCCCTCCTCATAAACCTGTGTAAGTTGCCAATACCAATGAATAAATGGAGCCTCAGAGAGGTTAAGCAATTTGTCTCAGGATCAATAGTCGTTAGCCAAAATTGGTCAAGTATAATACACCACAAATGCTTATGTTATTCCCTTGTTTTTGTTGTTACATTTATTAGGTCTATAATAAATTAATCCTCAATGATGAAGACACAAACTAAAGCTAAGCCAATTGAGATCAAGGCCATTTCAACATGGTTTGCCTATAATTCTCTAAAAAATCTGTATGTTGTGGCTTTCACAGGTCAAGCTTCAGGCTGCAAGGTCTTAAGTGCTAAATAGATGTGTTGTCCTAATGCTGTTCCAAGGTACAGAATCCTGATGATAAGGAGTATAGAAAACTCAAAAAATTAATTATTTCTTAAAAAAATGTGTATTTTAAGGCATGATACAAATCATACAAATCCCATAAGTAGATTTTAAAAAACCCTACAAAATAGAGTGGTAAACATTCTATAAAATGTTGAAATGTGTTTGGAGTTCACCTAAGCTCACTTTTCCTAAATAATACTATATAGTATTGTACACAAATTTGTTTTTAAGAAACTTTTAGGAAGATTTATGTGAGCATAACTGACAATATCTCCATTAGAAGCAAAAAGTATTATTACATCATAAATACAAGAAAACTGTATGTCCTTTTTCTGGCAATCTTTTTATCTTATTTTTTTCAAATGTTACGGGTGTTGCTTAAGCATCATTTTAAAGGATTTGAATACAAACAATCCCTCAGCTCATCAGTTTGAAATGTATGAAGCTCACTTCATCACTCTTATCTTTTATGTCTGCAATATAAATAGCATAGACATTTGTTGTGCAGGGAGGAAAAAGGAAATAGTAGCTCTCGGAATATTCATTTGAATAGAGTGGCTGTGGAAGAATGAATAACAAAAAAAAGGGATTTTTTTTTCAAGATCTCTCACTGGGAAAAGAAAGACTTATGCAATTATAAAGTAATTAAACTGGTTTTCCTTATACTTTATTAATCTGGATCTAATGACATTTCCTTAGGAGGGTTTCCAGATGTGCTTGCAGTTAATGACAACATTATCGTAATGACCACATAGACAGTCCTATTCTAAGGAGATAACTTGGGGAAAAACCTATTTGGAACTCCACATCCTGCCATGCATGTGGAGAAATGGAACCCCAGTTCTTAAGAGTCACACTTTATATTCCCTGCTTTCAAGTGGTTGACAAAAGGTAGTGCTTGAAGCACAAGATTTATGGAATAGTGAGCCAATTAAACAACACGCTTTTTATTTTGACTACCATTTAAGTGGAATTTTTGAGCTTTTTCTGACATGTGAATTGCAATGTGGTGAGAGAGAAAAACATAAAATCATTCAAGCAATTGACAATCAGTTCTTTAATTTTAAAGGAGATATCTTATGTAATGCCAAAAGAAAAGGTGACAGTGCTTCAGCTGATGATATAGCAGTGCAAGAAATCAGTGAAATTGTTTTAAGGTATTACAATAAACAACAATTTTAAAAGTTATTCCTATGCTTGTCACAATGACATAATTTGAGCCAAACAAAACATCAAAACATATATCCTTTAATAATTTTTCAAAAGGTCAAAACTAAAGCTAAACATTGCCCCCAAAATCTCTGCAAGGCACTAAGCAAAATCCACACAGAATCCATTCAGAATCTCATAATACTGATGAAAGATTATTTAAACTTCTGATAGTTTTGGTAAAAATGGAAAGGAATTTAGTAAAAATGGGAGAAATATAACCTTTGTACCAATTTATGTGACCTTAAATGCCATTTATGCGTAATCAGATATGCTGTTTTCTCTTTACATTTTAAAATAACTTAAAGAGTGTTATTGGTTAGCCAGGCATGGTGGTGTGCAACTGTAGTCCCAGCTACTTGGGAGGTTGAGGTAGGAGAATCACTTGAACCCGGGAGATGGAGGTTGCAGTGAGCTGAGATTGTACCACTGCACTACATCCTGGGTGACACAGCAAGACTCCATCTTAAAAAAAAAAAAAATAAGTGTTATTGGATTTTTTGTAACTCAAAGGACAAATGCTTGAAAGGATGGATGCCTCATTCTGTATACTGAGCTTATTTCACTCTGCATGTCTGTATCAAAACATCTCATGTACCCCATAAACGTATACACCTACTATGCACCCACAAAAATAAAAATACAAAAGTTGTAAATACTACCACAGATTATAGGTATAACATTTGCCACTTATCAAATAAATTACCATTATAAAGTAGGTATTCTGAAGACTGTACAAGAATTATAGTGCCAGCTTCTGCCTCTTGCGTGACCTTCAGGAAGCTTATAATTATGATGGAAGGTGAATGGAGAGCAGGCATGTCACATGGTAAGAAAGGGAGCAAGAGAGAGTGAAGAAAAAGGTGCTACACTCTTTTAAACAAACATCTTGCATTAAATCATAGAGTGAGAACCCACTTATTACCTTGAAGACAGAACCAAGTCATTCATGAGGGATCTGCTCCTAGGAACCGAACACCTCCTCGTAGGCCCACCTCCACCATTAGAGGTCATATTTCAGCATGACTTTTAAAGAGGATGAAACATTTAAACAATATCAGCACTAAGTACAAAGGAAGAGTAAACCTTCTTATTGGAAACCTTCTGTGTTAGGGGTGGAAAGAGAAAAAAGCTAAGGAGTGCCTAGTACTGAATACCATAGCTTGGCTAGAAATATAGAAAAGAGCAGTAATTAACAAGGCTGTAAAAGTTAGAAGTGTAGAATATGAAGGGCCTTAAATGTCAGGTATATAATTTGTACTTTGTGTGGTGAGGTGAGGCAAGATGGATCATAAAAATTGTGGAGATAAAAAAGCTTATACAGACCTTGAGAAACAATGATATGGCATAATAACACGGGCAAAAGCCTGCTGGCAAGTAAACACTATTGTTTACTCCTTCATTTTGAGATCTGGATTATCTAGATAATTTCACAGACATACATATGAATTATAAGAAACATACAACAGGAATAGCTGTCATTTATTGAATCCAACTATTTGGGGCTTTACATGGATCATCATATTTAATTTTCTTTTTTTTCTATTTTTCTTTTTTATTTTTTGACAGAGTCTTGCTCTGTCACCCAGGCTGGAGGTTGGAGTGCAGTGGGGTGATCTCAGCAGGCATAAGCCACCACACTCAGCCAGGGCATCATATTTAATTTTCACAATCCCATGAGGTAGATGCTATAATTAATCCCACTTTTCAGTTGTAAAGCACATACAGATAGTTTAAGTAACTTTTTCAAGTATACACAGCTAATAAATGGTAACGTCAGGATTTTTAACTCTGAAAATCGGAATCCAGAACTCATGTGCTTAACATGGTATTATTGGCCTACGTATTACTATAATACAATAAATTTCATGGGACATGTTAATACTTTGAAAATACTCTTCCCTAGTATCCAACATAACTATACAATTAAAATGTATAGTTATGATACTTGTGTTGTATTTTTTTATATTTTCCAACATTCTAAAACTTTGTGCACAACTATAACTTGTCAATTTACAATACAATTTAAAAAAAATAAACTAAAAATTTTAAACCCTCATTTTATTACACTCCTCTTCATAAATGTTTATTCTAGTCTCTTGTATGATTGCAAAGTTAAGGATAAATGTGAATAAATATACTATGGATGGTTTCAGCCATAAGTACATATATTTCTATTTGTAAAAACCAGAAAAATACATTGAAATGTTAAAATTTGCAACATTTGAGAGATCTGATTATAGATAATCATTATTTTCTACTTTAAATTTTTCTGATTTTTCTGAACATTTTTGGTAAGCATGCTATTTTTAATCAGAATATGATAAATATTATAAGGCATGAGTAAACAATTAGACAAATCAAGAAAAAATACAATTGCTTCAGAACAAACAAAGGTTTTTGGATAAATTTAAAAATCCAGTAAGGCAAAAGAGATGTTTGGTAGACATTAAATTATATAAAATGGGAGCATATGTTTTGCAACATCCATGAAATGTTTATAAATGTTGATTATATGCTAGGTAATAAAGGCTCAGATGCAAATAGGAGGAATTATGCATATGACATTACACAAACAAAATTAGAATTACCAAAAATGTAAATATTAGAAAATTTAAAAGGACATGTGTTGATTACAACATGAGATAAAATTTTAAAAATACTGTGGTAAATCTAATGCCAATAAGTTTGAACATCTTATTGAAATGGATGATTTCCTGTGTCAAAGGATTATCAAAATAAAGCAAGAATAGAAAATTTGAATAATTGACTACATAAGAATTTTTCTTTTGAGTTACAGTCTGCTGTAGAATTTATTTTTTACAATTTTAATTTCATTTTGAATTTTAGATTCAAGAGAGTCAGACGTGTATGTGCTGGTTTGTCCCATGGGTATATTTCATGTGGCTGTAGTTTGAGCTTCTGTTCATCTTATCACCCAAACAGTGAACATAGTATTCAGTAGATAATTTTTCAACCATTGCCCTACTCTCTCTCTTTTCCCTTTTCAAGTCTCTGGTATCAGCTGACCTAACCTTTATGTCCATGTGTACTCAATGATTAGCTCCCATTTATAAATGAGAATATAAAGTATTTGGCTTTCCGTTTCTGCATAAATTCACTTAAGTTAATGGCCTCCAGCTGCATCCTCGTTGCAGAGGAGGACATGCTATTTTTTTGTGGCTGTGTAGTATTCCATATACAGCTTCTTTATCCAATCGACTATTGATAAGCACTTAGTTTAATTCTGTGTCTTTGCTATAGTTAATAGTGCTGCAATAAACGTGTGAGTACAGGTGTCTTTTCATTAAAATGATGTATTTTCCTGTGGGCACATACCCAGTCATGGGATTGCTGGATTGAACGGTAATTCTATGTTTAGCTCTTTGAGAAATCTAGATATTGTTTTCTATAGTGGTTGTAATAATTTGCTTTTCCTCCCACATTTATGTGTTCCTTTTTTAAAAATTCCATGCCAGCATATATTGTTTTTGAACTTTTAATTATAGCCATTCTGACTTTTGTGAGATGAAATCTTATTAAAATTTTGATTTACAATAATGTGATGATTAGTGCTGTTGAGCATTTTTTCATGTGTGTGTTGGTTGCTCATATGCCTTATTTTGAGAAGTGTCTGTTTATATATTTTGCCTACGTTTTAATGGGGTTATCTATAGTTTTCTTGTTGATTTATTCAAGTTTCTTGTAGATTCTGGATATCGGTCCTTTGTTAAATGCATACTTGCAAATATCTTCTCCCATTCTGTAGATTATATGTTTACTCTGCTCATAGTTCTTTGTTGTTGTTGTTGTTGTTTGTTTGTTTCTTTTGCTGTGTAGAGCTTTTTGGTTTGATTAGGTCTCAATTCTCATTTCTTTTTTCATTTTTTCTTCATTTGCATTTTGAGGATTGGTCATAAATTATTTGCCTGGGACAATGTTCAAAAGAATATTTTCTTTTTCTTCTATCATTTTTATAGCTTGAGGCCTTAAATTAAATTCTTTAATCTATCTTGAGTTAATTTCTGTATACAGCAAGAAGTAGAAGCCTAGCTTCATTCTTCTGCACTGTTTATTAAATAGGGTATTGTTTCACTAGTGTTTATTTGTGTCAACTTTGTCAAAGATCAGTTGGTGTGGGTGTGTGTATTTAATGCTGGGTTCTCTGTTTGTTTTCATTGGTCTATGTGTCTTTTTTTGTACCAATACCATGCTGTTTTGTTTTCTGTCACCCTATAGACTAGTTTAAAATTGGGAAATGTGATGCTTCTGGTTTTGTTCTTTTTGCCTAGGACTGTTTGGCTATGTGAGTTCTTGATTGTTTACATATTAATTTTTGATTTTTGTTCTAATTGTGTAAAAAATGATGCCTGTAATCTGCTAGGAACAGTATTGACTGTATAGATTGCTTTAGGATATTTTAATGATATTAATTCTTCCAATTAATGAGCATCAAATGTTTTTTCATTTGTTTGTGTCATTTATGATTTCTTCCAGTAGTGTTTTGTAGTTGTCTTTGTAATGATATTCACCTTCTTGGTTAAATGTATTCCTAGATATTTTATTATTATTTGGCTATTACAAATGGGTTTACCATCTTGATTTGCTTCTCAGCTTCGAAGGTATTAGTGAATAAAAATGATAATGATTTTTGTACATTGGTTTATTAACCTCAAAACTTTATTGAAGTCATTTATCAGGTCTAAGAGAATTTTGGCAAAATTATTAGGATTTTCTGGGCATAGAATCATATCATTAGTGAAGAGAAGTAATTTGACTTCCTCTTTTCCAATTTGGATGCCTTTTATTTCTTCTTCTTGGCTGATTTCTCTCAGTAGGAATTCCAGTACTATATTCAATAAGAGTGGTGAGAGTGGACAGCCTTGTCTTATTCCATTTCCTTGAAACAATGCTTCCAACTTTGCCCATTCACTATGATGTTGGTTGTGGATTTGTTATAGATGGCTCTTATTCTTTTGAGGTATCTTCCTTTGATGTTTAGTTTTTAAAATGTTTTTAACATAAAGGATTACAGATTTTATTAAATGTTTTTCTGTATCTATTGAAAAGATTTTACAGCTTTTGTTTTTAATTTTATTTATGTGATGATTTACAATTATTGACCTGCCTATGTGGAACCATCCTTGCATCCAGGAATAGAGCCTACTTGCTCATGGTAAATTACTATATTAGACCATTTTTACATTGCTATTAATATAAAGAAATACCTGAGACCAGGTAATTTATAAGGAAAAAGAGGTTTAATTTGCTCATAGATCTGCACGTCACAGAGGAATCGTGATGCTGGCATCTGCTCAACTTCTGGGAAGGCCTCAGAAAACTTATAATCATGGCAGAAGGC